ATCTGCATAACAAATTTCGGCGAATGCAATGAAAAGAATGTAAAGAATATACAGCGGTTTAATGATACCTGAGTAAAAACAAATCATTCTTGTTGAGTTAGGCTTTGAACTGTCTAAAATTATGCGGTTAAACATTCCCTAATCATAAGCAAAACTTTTTTGAAACGGGATTTTAATGTATACGTTTTAACATGATGTGAAATATTTCTGTACCAGAGCAATGAAAACACATTATGATCTTGATCTGAAAACATGTGTAGCATAAAAGAATTAAATTTTTCTCCAAGAACTCGTGATAAAAATAAGAAAGTATTATTAAACAAAACACCTAAAATGTAAACAGTAGATGAATAAATAATCATTACAGCGAATAATCAAGTTTCAGACTTCTGTGATCGAAAATGAAATATTAGCTGTCTCTCATTACTGTGGATTTTGAATCTTCTTTCTTCGGCAACAGTAAATCGTAATATATTTGGCATTAGTATTACGCAGGTTTGCATTGTTGAGCTTTCTGAAACGCTATATTACATGTATATTCAAATTTTCGTGAATTTGAGAAAGGCTGAATTAGAAGCACAATGACAGATATTAAGCACTGTAATGACAAAATATCAATTCAGACACCTCCAGTAATGTCACTATGTACAGTCAGGCTAATAAACACCTATCGTGCTTAGTGTTGAAAATAGCTGATTTACGAAAGGGGGGCATAAATTGTAAACTAATCAGAAAAAACAAAATCAATTAAAACATGAGCACATACATGTGCGACAGAATCTATCATTAATTTGCAATAGCTCCTTAAGTTTTTCTTTCCAACTTCCTTTGTCCCCTCTTCTATTTGCCCCCCAAAAATAATTATTCTTTTAATAAATCTTTTTCAACCAACGTTAACCAATGTTAGCCGATTTTAATAAACTAAAAAAAAGTACTATAACTTTATTATTCCCATTCTAGTAGCAATATTCCAATTTTCCCCCTCTTACACTCCACAGGCTTCTGTTAACTGTTAAGATTCTGTCCATCTGTTCTTTCATTAATTACTATTCTATGAATATGTGGAAACTATCTGGGTAATTATTGAACAGCTAGCAATGATTCTATTGCTTTACTGTGTAAGGTATTTCTACCGCGTTCTTGGCATGCCTTCGTGGTGTGGTGGTCTGCACACTGGGCGCGTATTCTAGAGGTCCGTGGTTCGATTCCCGGCGAAGGCGGTTGGATATTTTTCATTTTCCTGCTTCCAAAAATACCTAATGTCTCTGCAACTGTATATTAATATATTACGAATTATATTTAAATAAAAATTATCTCCGTTACGGTCCAGCAGTGATCGAGTAGTAAAGTCGCTGAACATTGGTAGTTCAATCTGGATTCAAATAACGGCGAAGGGTTGGCTCTTTCTTGGTGTTCCCCATGTGTAATGTAGATATGATCCAGTTTTCTTTGCAATACACTCCACGAAGGCATCCTTTGTAGGCAGATGGCCCTCGCGTGCGTTGGCGTAATCAAATAAACCAAACCAATTGCTGCTTGTTATTAAAAAGGATAAAAAAAATCATTGACACCAACCTTCATTATCTACAAATTTTCGGTTATATTGCAAATTTTTCGATCGGACAGAAACTGTGTGTTGCCTTTCCATGTAACAAAATTTCTTTGTTTTTCAACGTAGTATTTGAAAAGATTACATTGAAATGTTTCGATGATGGGGTTGAAACTTTGTACTTTCATTCATGTTCGATGATGGGGTGTTCATGAATTCAAATGTAGTAAATGTCCCACTTTTTAAAGGCTTTTCGCAGTGATGAAAGGAAGAAGGGATTCTTTGATCTTGAAGAGAAAAAAAATTAATTAAAAGGCACTTTAAAAAAATACAGCGTACTAGTGATTCGAAGATAGTACTAGCGTACTAGTAATTCGTCATAGTGTTTGTGCTTACAACCGTCAGGTTTCTAGTGTTACAATCACCCATTAAGAAAAGAATTCAATAATTATCTAGTACTTCCAGTTGAAGTAACGTAATTAGAATTTACTTGCTAACGTGAATTAAATTTCTTTCCAATGAAAAACAAGTTGATGTGACTCGTATGTGCACTGGATTTTAAATTGTATGTCAGATGCTTTAAAATTATATTTCTATAAATTGAATTCGGCGACATTGTAAAGCGGATTTAAAAGGTTTATATAATAATTCAGATCATGACCTTAAAGCAATTTAGTATGTAAGTTTGGAAGGGTCCGTTTAATTGTATGCTCTTGTGTTTGAATTTGTGCTTTATGTGTGCTAAAACTTGTATAGCAGAGGAGAAATTAATTTCTTAATTAGCGTAGCTAAAATATTTGCATAATCATCAAGTAGAAAACTTATGTGTAATTACCATTCTTTTGAATTTGTAATTCTGTTTTTACTTCTTTCTACGAAGTAAAAAGAAAGCATTGAAATCACGAAAAATTTCGGGTATCATAGTTCAACGAAAATATCAGTTTTGACCGCTTTCCAATGCAATTTAATGATTTTATTGCGTGACATCCGCAAGTAAGGGATGAATAAAGGACACTTTTCCCCCCCAAAAAATTAAAAACCTGATTTAAAAAGGAATTCTGAAGAGAATTTTTCGTGGCGTCTGTGCGTACGTATCTCGAATAACTCAAAAACAAGTAGCCTCAGAACGTTGAAATTTTGTATGTAGGACTGCTATAACGTGTAGATATGCACCTCGTATTTTGGTTGCAATCGTCCGCACCAAAAGTATATAAATATATGTATATATATATATATATATCCACTCTGTTACTCGGCTCAGTGAGCTCATTTTCTTTATTCTTATATGTTTGTAAATTGTGCATATTTTGCTTTAAAAATGATTGAATTATGTTGTTCTTATCTTCCGGTTAAGGTTTTATGTCTTTAGTAAATCTGTATGCAAAATTTGTGGAGTTATCAACAATTTAAAATTTGTTTAAGTGCAGCTAAGCCTAATGAATTTTGGCGATGGCGGACATGTTTCTTTATATTTCAAACTTGGCATAGTAGCGGATTTGTTACCAATCTAGAGAAACTAAGCTTCGCAACAACAAAAATAACGCCTTCTTTTATTATTACGAATTAAATCATGCTAATCCATTCTGGAATTTATTCGAGGAAATAAGTGTTTCAGATTTACTTCGTAATTTTTAATATAGATATTTTAAGTTTTTACGTATTTTTGCCTTGTCAAGAAGCGAGAACTGAATTAATTGAATGAGAAATACTGAATCGTCTGTGAAAAATTGTTTCTTTTTTTGTTTTGTTTGCTTAATTTATTTTATACATCGTTTTAGATTTATTATAATATTTGAATTGAACATGTGGCAATGATTAGATAATTCTTCAAATGATATAAAATTATATGCATTCTGAGTTATAATATGTACGAAATGTAATGCTGTTAAATGAACCTAGTGCTAGAGTGTCGCTATGGTAAACAAATAGAGTGAATTTTAAAGAATGCATTTATTCAATTGTGGTTTATGAGGTATCGGCGATGTAGATTTAATTCAATCCAATAAGTTTAAATGAGATGCAAGAAAAAATGCGTATAATTTAATATTCCGTGCAAGGAAGTCATGTGGTATACACATCAGATTTTTTGAAAATGTTATAAACTAAAATTTGTGCGATTAGAAGTTTATGTAATGATTACTAGAATTTTGAAATAAATTACTTCTTTCTAAAAAAATGTAATTATTAAAAGATTATTATTTGCGTTATTAAACAAGAAACAATATGAATAATGAAATAAAAATTAATAAAATAATGATACAATTTTTAATTTATCTTCAATATTGTTAAAAGTGAATACTAAATTATTAATGATAATCATAAGTTAAGGAATTTATTATTTATAATAATATTGATAATAAGTAATACTCTCAAAAAAAATCTGGAATAGCAACGAAGGCCAACTATGCACCCAGCCTGTTTGGCTAAGTTTCAACCTGTTTCAGTTACCAATATTCAACAGGTTTAACCGATGGCCATTGGTGGGAGGGACACTTGGAGTTAAGATGAATGATTGTCATACCTAAATTATGTATTCGTTAATTCATTATAAAAAGCCTTCATTATTCAAGTATAATATGTATTATAATATATATTCAAGTATAATAATGCGAGGAGTTTGGATATAGAAGCAGAGGTATATTTTAATGGCTAAATAATTGTTCCCATTACCTTCTCATACAACACAGTAAGAGCTACGGTTAATATGACTTACTATACTTTTTATATATTTAATTACTATTATGAAATTTTTAACGTAGGACCAGTTACCTTACACAAGGCATAGAAGCCTTTTCAAATAACTGTTTGAGCCTCTCTTAACTATTAGTAAATTTTAATAATTTAAAGAGAGTATGTGTAAGTTTTATATCGAGACGTTAGTTTTTAAAGAACTGTATAGCCTTCTCTTCGAACACGCTTAAAAAACTGATATGAAAGTGAAATAAAAATGAGAAACATAACGTCATTTTAATATAAATATGCATTTATGATGCTGAAAGGAATATTTTAAATAAGAAAACTAAAATATTAAAAACTTTTAGAAGGAAGAATGAAAGAGAAAGAACAGCATTCTTCTACGCACTCTTTTGAGATGTAATGGTTCATTCATCAAGATAAAACCTGCACGATTCTTAGTCCGAGTTTAAGCAATGTAACAGTTTTCTTTTTATATTTTTATTTTCGAAATACCTAATAGTCTCTGTCTTAACTCCTAATTCAAGCCCATTTAAATGCGTAGAGTAATTGAGATTTTACTGTGTATCAATATAGAAAAATTGTCTGACCCAAATATAGATATTCAAACAAGTATATAGACAGATAGGAATAGAGAAAAGGAACTTCAAACAACAAAGAACTTTAAGCAACAAAAATATTTCTGTTGTAATACTTTTCTTATCTATTGCTGGAAACAAAAAAAGAGAGTAAAAAAGATAGCTTAAATTGATCTTACCTTCATTCCATTACGAATAGTATATTTAGCGTACTGGTCTAAGAAACACTTAGTTTTTATTTTGAACTGATAGTTCGTTTCATTGCTCCAAAAGTTATCCAACATTTCACCAGAAGACTCTCCTGCAATATTATTATTGCTTGTAAAAATTAATGAAGATATGATGTAAGGAACTTTATAAATAATGTCAAGTATGACATTCATGACTTAAACTGTGATTATAGAATGTGACTTAAATGTGACTATAGATTGAAGATTATAACTTATGATAGTTCCAACGCACCTCAACTTGACACACGTTTTCTCAATTAATCAGCAGAGGACGGGAGCAACAATTTTCATTAGAAGCGCATGCAGTGCAAAGGGATTTTTACGTCGATGGCGTATTGAGATTAGCCCATACTTTAATACTAAGGGCTCGAGAATTATAATCTCATTACATTGAATTGATTGAATTTCTATCATGTGAAGGTATGCTTCTGCACAGATGGTGTGCTAATCACCCGGATCTTTTGCAGTGTCCGGGTGGACAAAAGGGTTACTCCTTCAGTAATTTCGACGATGATCAGAGCATCAAGACTTAAAGATTATCATAAAATCCAAATCTAAATTGTTTTTTTATTTTCAAATCAACAATCAAGAAACCAACTACTTACACAGAGAGAACGATGTTACCTGACATTGCTTGCATCTACGATCCATTAGAACTGCTTGGTCCATGGATAACAAGAGAAAAATTCTTAATCCAAAGACTTTGTTTACTGAAGCTTGATTGGAACGATCAGGAACCCGGGAAGATAATTAAGGAATGACAAAATTTCATTGCTTCCATGAAATCTACCAATAATTTACAAGTGCACAGATATGTTTTACATCTTAGGTTTTCTAAGATACATATTTATAAATTTTTGGACGCATCAGAACACCATTTCTATTTACGCGGTAGATAAGACAATAACTTATCTTCACATTTGCTTTGTGGCAAGTCCAGAGTATCCCCTCTAAAACCGTTGACAGTGCTACGCCTGGAACTCTGCGCAGTTGTATTGCTAATACAACTTGTTACAAGTGGGGTGACCTTATTGAAACTAGACATCAATAAAATATGCTTGTGATGTGACTCATCCACACTGTTAATATGGATTTAGAATGCTCATTTACTAAAACGTTTCGCTGCTAACCGAGTGCTAAAGATTCAAGAATTAACGCAGACTTGCCAGTTGAATTATGCTCGTTTCACAGGAAAATCCAGCAGATCTTATTTCTTAAGGATTGAATTTTGACCAGCTGTATGGTGCTGATCTCTGGTGGAAGTCCTCCATTCTTGAGAAAGATTATCATACCTAACAAGAGCATTGAATGCTTAAAAAAAAACGGACAAGATTTCCAGTGAACTGAGAAAAAGAAATGACATTGCTTGTTCATACACTTAACCTTCCAAATCTATTGATTATGTTCTAAATCTCACAAACCATTACCCAAAACTATTACGTATTATTAATTATATCTCCAGGTTATTTTGGAACTCTAGGTGTACAAAACAGGAGGGAACATAGAAAGGAACGGGATGGGTAAGTTAAGAGTTAAATGAGGCTGAATCTTTCTTAGTAAGAGAGGTTCGAAAATGCAATTTTTAGTTAGATTACAATTCCCTCGCACAAGGTAAACCAAGTAATAATAAAAGTCATTTGCCTTCTGCGCATCCTTTTTTTGGATGCAAGTAATGTAACGAGAGTAAGAAGGTCGATTACAAAGGCCAATCTAAAATTTTCGCCATCAAATAATTCTGCCTCAGAGATTAATATAATTAATCAAATAATTTAAATTAATTATATTAATCGCTGAACATTATCAGCGGAAATATTTACACGTAGGTCCGCAAACATTATTGATTTTCATGAGGCAGAAAGTTTGGCCATTACAAGGCAGAAATGTAACTAGAAGGATTACCCATAAATGTAATCGCGTCTCAAAATAAACCAGTCAGTATCGAACTAATTATGGGTTCATTACCTCCAGAGCGCATAAATCCCAGCGCACCTTTAAATATGTCGGCACCGATTTCTGCGACCCAATATTCATTACGTACAAGGGACAGAGAAAAGGAACTCACCAGAGGATATATGTAGTGCTTTTCATTTGCTTTGTAAACAAAAGCAGTGCATTTCGAACTAACGAGTGACTTTACCACAGACACTTTTACTGCCATCTTAAAGAGATTTATTACTCGACGCGGAAAAGGTTCAGTCGTTTTCTCAGACAAAGAAAAAATCTTCGTTGATGCAAATGCCGAGAGAGTTAATAATTTGACTGCAAAGAGTTAACAATTTGATTATATGTTCTGATGAAAAGTTAGCAGATTATGTAGCTGAAGAAGGAGCCATCTGAAAATTTATTCCTCCTCAGGTACCTAGTTTTGGCGGGCTAAGGAAATCCGGAATTAATTCTGGGAAATATCACTTAAGGCCTGTAGGTAGTTGCAAGGCTAACCTTCGAGGCTTTATTTAAATATAATGACTCAAACAGAGTCGGTTTAGATGGAAACGAACTGTTAGTTTGTCCAACTGATATGGAACCGTTGGCAAATGGAAAGCAGAAAGAAAGAATATTAAAATCGGGATGCTAATACTAGCTAAGGAAGATGAGCTACCTGTAAATAGTTGGGTGTTAGGGCGCATTGCAAGTCTTTTTCCTGGAGTTCACGGTAAGGCTACAGTAATAGAAATTTGGGAAGCAAGTAGCATCATTAAGCGCAAAATAACAAAAAATACAATATTATCCCAGGAGGAAGCGTCTTGAATTAGTTAATAATCTTATCTCATGATTATAGTACTTATGGTATTATGTATAACATTTTGTACTGGAAATTGATTGCTATATTGTATATTATTACTACATATACTAATATATTACATTTCACTACTATATTATTTTGTATTACTGCTATATATACTAGTAGACTATTGCTATATTGTATAAAGCTGTAAATGTAAAATTTTCTATGTTGTTATGAGTATTATTGCACGAAATTATTGAAGCAACCTTTCAATGCCCGGGGGGAGGTATGCTGTATCTTTAAAACAGTTTAGCTCTTATATTACTTCAGTTTTTTCTCTTCTTGGTGCCTTAGGGGGGCGCGTATAATCATTACATCAACCCTGTAACGACCACTCAACTTTTTTGTTTTTGTTATTTCGTTTTGTTGTTCCATGTTTTTTTTATTCCATGGTTGTTGTCGGCTGAGTAAGTTATCTCTTAGAAAGATGGCTCATATATGATTAGAATAGTAAAATCAAATAGTAATAATGCAGTCCACTTTTCGTTATATTATAAAGCTATTTATAATTGTAATTACCACACGCATCGCATGAACGAGGTGCAAGTCTAAGTCGTTAGCACTTATATTACAAGTCACTATATGAAGATCCATGGTTCAAATCGTGGTCAGGAAAATCTTTCGATTTCTATTTTCTTTTCCGTTTACTCACTTGGTGGTCTAACAGCAATTTTAAACTATTTCGTGACTTGCTCGAGCTGTCTTTCGTTTAATCATACGCTATATTCGATAATTATAGTTTGAGTTCTTATGTTGGCTATTCTAATAATTCTTATGTTGGGGTTTCAAACTTGTACAATAATATAGTAGTAAAACATTTAGAAAGTTATACTGGAATGGATTTAACTATTACATAGTTTAAAATAAATTATACTTACCATTGAATCCATGAATAATTTCGTGTCCATAAATGAAACCCAGCGCTCCAAAATTCAGGTAACTGAAAATAATGTACGAAGAAAGGTTAATTTTTTAAAACATTTAAAAAGTTATATAAATGAAATAATCATAAAAAGTAAATGGATATCAGTTGAATGTAAATTCGAATAAGTGTAAGAGATAGATTACTAACTTGGGTTGATCTTTGTTGAACAAGGGATTTTGGAAGAATGCAGCAGTAATTTCTGTTGAAAGAATAATATTGATGAGAAATATACTCTAACAATGGAATTAAAAAGATATTATTTCAGGTTTAGTATTATGAAATACCAGTGATGTAAGAGTTAGAAGTCAGGTCAGTGTCTTTGATCGGGCACTGATGGAATTTCTGATCGGACACAGATGACAGAAAAGGCATCTTTTGTTAATAAGGAATATCGAATTACAAAATATTTATAGCTGTATATACATAGTTAGTTTATAAACAAGGAAAGTCGTGATGAAAGCCATCTTTTCTTCCTGATTATATTGTACGCAAAAACGGTGAATATGAAATTTCCGTCTTTTGGAAAATGAGATGATTTTCAAATTTCGGAAATGGCAAATTAAAAACATTGGATAAAATGCTCCATTAAAGTTTTTAAACTACTAACAGAAGTAGCGCCTCAGTAAGTTTTCCAATAAACATCCCTTAAAGACCGAAATCGTTAAAATATTCTAGTGGTACATCTTAGGCGAAATCTATCAGCTTTGCGGAAGTGATCTTAATAAAATTAAAGAGAGTGATACATCAGCTTTGAAATTTTACACAATATTTAGAATTTTATCATTAGTTTCCACATTCACTTTTTAAAAATATTATACTATTTCGGTGTTCGTGAGTTTGCAGAAAATGCTTATACGATAATACAGTTTGATATTCAAAAGTTGTTAACTGCGCTTCTTCGAAGTAACAGCCATTGAGCAGAGACACGTACTCATTCCATAATATTTTTCCAGGAAGGGCGGGGGCATTGGTAGAATTCGTTTTTTAGTATCTGACACAGAGTTACCTCGCATCGTTTTGGGTTGCTTGAATAATATGAAAGTGTTAACCAGTAAAACAATCTCGATAAAACTTAACAGCGGTCTCCGATGTTAGGAGTTCGAGGGAATAACTTTAACACCTTTCTGGAATGACATGCCAATGTTTTACCATATTTCGATTCTAGGATTCAAATTATGCCTAAATATTAAATTTTATAAAATCTGGTGCGAAATTTACGGAAAACATATATCTTGGTGCACTTTTTTCAGTTTGCACTAAGAATAATTTACTTGGCGATCTTCTTAATATATGGCAACCTATTTTCCTATTCCTTTTTACATTGTGCATGGCGGAAAAAAAGTCACATGGTTCCGACTTTCAAATAATTTTAACAAAGTGCCTAAACCACATTTGATGTTATTATCCCTTTAAACAAATATGCAAAATTGCGAAACGCCCCAATGTATAAATTCAAATATATCTTCGGAAATTTTGAATAAAAACCTCTATTTTTTTGCAGGTGTGCTTAGAAATACATCTACTTTAAGATGATTGTAAAAGTTTTATAGATTATAACACAAAACGTTTTCCGAAAAATTTATAAAATTAATTTAAAAATACAAATTTTGCAAATAAATCATAAAAAAATGGGTGAATTTTATTCGGAAGGAACTTAAGTTTCGAAATTTGAAAGGAAGAGTTAAATAAGTTTAATAAAAAAGAGAGATTAATACCAAATTCGATTAACATTTAGGAGCTAAACTTTTGAGAGCCATAATCATGGCTCTCAAATTAATTTGGCCAATTTTTTAAAATCTATTTCTGCAATTTTTGCAAAACTCGGCAGTTTGGCATAATTTCAGTCGTAGAATCAAAATATGGAAATAAACTGACTTGTTATTTAAGAAAACGTCCGAATTTTGTATCAAAATACCTCTATTAGAATAATGCTATACATAAATCTAATACATATCCCAAGTCGCGCTTTTGAGACATGAAAAGCGCAAGTTGAATTTTGTCAATCGACTCATTAGATAGAACGGGAGATATAAAACCGTAACCTTTTTTTTTTTTTTTTTTTTTTTTTTTCGCAGTGTACATAGGAATAAGAGCAATAGTTTCGAAAATGTTCTAATATTCTGGATAAGCAGTTAAGGAGAAAATTCTTTAAAAGTTAGCAGTAAAGAAACATTAGAAATGGCACCATTAAATATGATCGAGAGACCTTTATAGATGTGAAAATCCATTTCGCTAAATGAAACATTTTTGAAGACATGAGGCTGCATAGAAAAGAAAAATGTGACTATTGACAATAATGATGAGAAACAGAAGATTTATGAATCTTTTTTTTTTCAAACATATATCTCATACTGTTTGGTGCGAAATTTCAGTCTTTCTTTTTTAATCAATGCATATTAAAAAAGATTAGCTGAGAATACCACAGGCATCCCAGGAGCTCCAATCTTGTATAGAATATAATAATAATTTTTAATCCTAGATTTGCGAATATTTTCAGTAACAGAAAAACGACACAAAAGTGAAATTTATGTAAAAATGGGCATTTTACACATAACTCCGTAAATAATGGAATGCATTCTGGGTTCTAACCATTAGTCGAAATGGAAGAATGTTTTTCAGGGGATGAGATAAAAGTATTTTAACTGCTGACTCAATAAAATGAGACGGAGAAGCCTCTGTTGATTAAAAACACTCTTAAATAGCTGAATTCTTGATTAAAGTTGACTTCGAAACGTAAATATTGAGTTAATATAAAATGAAAGAATAAAAGGAAGCCGACTTTCATTTCTGAGAATGACAGTGTAAGTTGCATGAAGAGGTAAAATAAAGAAGATTTATTGTACACGATAATTCTGAAATTAGACTTGATGTGTGTGACACGGACTTCAGATCAGTTATGATGAATGGAGACTTTATAAATTTAAAATAAAATTTATAAAGTTCACAATTCAGTAAGTCCATCGATCAGATATTTATAAAATCCGTCATACAATAAAAAATCACGATGTCATAATTAAGTCTTTATATATTATGCTCATACAAAAAAGTTCAATATGTCAACTTATAAATTCAATAATTAAATTGTAAAAGAACGAGTAAATATGCTACTTTTATATTCATATTTTTAAAAGTGATGGCAAATATCGCTCCCAGCGCAGAAATGAGATTCATAATTTTACAGATTTTAAAAGCAAGATATCTTTGCTTAGTAGCAAATCTTTTGAAAGCTGTAGAAAATTTAACGTGGTATTGTTTAGCTAAGTGATAATTTACTGTATGATCAACAGATCCAGCGTCCTTCCCCCAAGATACAATAATCTGTGAAGAACGAAAAGGAATGAATTGTATCAAGTTCATAACTAAATTCTGAAGCAGCATTAAGTGGATTCGTAACTGAGAGAGCCCTAACTAAATATAATTTATTACTATTAAAATTACCACTAAGGTAAGCTACAGCTCTATGACACTAATAGTGAAGTTTAATGCGCGTGACATGACGTTTCCTCGAACTTCTGAAAAAACAGGAACATCTTCAATATTTCTTTTACTTTGGTTACATACTATTAACTTTTACCACTCCTAATAACTTTAGTTAACTATTTGAGACGATCAGACTGAAAATATCTGTTGATTAAAAGAATATTCAGTTCATGAAAGTTTATTACAAACAGCAAAGTACAGTCGTTTAAAACTGAAAACTGTGATTTAAAAAGGAATTTTTCACCTCTGTTAGAGACATATTATATTCTTTATACTAGTAAAAAATAAATCAAAAGGACAAAGTTTGAATAGAGAACTTAAATTAAGCAATTGTGGGTGGCCTGTGTATGTTCCATCCTTAGTTCGAAAGGCCTACGGGAAAATACTTGAAAGCTTTGGTTGCCCCTCTAAATTCATCCCCAACCTTTGAGAAGACTCTCGTACCGACAGATCTGTTTTTCAAAAACTCTACAGTAACAAACATTCACTCCTTATTCGCAAATGTCACTCACATCCATCGGCATAGGAATTACTCAGTTTGCATTTATCACAATACTTACCAGGACGTTAAAAACCTGAAATATGTATAACAAATATATTTATATTTTGTACGAAAAATATTTATAACTCTGGAAAATAATAATCACTTTTCTTTTTATAAATATTTATTTTCAGATGACGTCAATGTAATTTTAATTACTGAATTCTTTCCTGGTTGAAAAGTACTCTAGCATCATTATTTGAAATTTAGAAAATTAATTAGAATTTAGAATTCTTGCCCGATAATTATATGATTTTCTCCCTCATTTTCCTTTAATATTTTTTTATTCGAAGATGGCCGTTTTTCGAATCATTAATTTCATCAATTCTAAATTAAGGAAAAGGAAAGGAGTTTACCAATTTTGTTGGTTGTAGGGTCAAAACTAGCCCTCGAGTCGATCATTTTAAAGAACGGTGACGATCTGCAAAAATGATTACATTGTAAATATGTGATAAAATTACTATTTATCCAGTAAACACAAATATGAGATAAAACTACTATTTTTTCAGTAGGCACATCTCTAAAGATAAAATTCACTTTAAATTTATTGAATGAAAATGAAAAGCCGTATTTGAATTGGAAAAATGCAAGAAAAACAATGTTTTGCAAGAATTAATTTTATTTGGTATTATTTGGAAAAGAAGTTTAACTTTTTTTAAATAAGCTAAACATTTTATGCACATGTAATGTAGATTTTCCTTTTATCTTACAATAATTCGAGTTTTACTTTGAATTCTGTGCTTTACTAAATATATATGTTTGGAAACAATAAATGCAAATTAGTAGTAAATGAATGATCGTGAAATGCATGGAAATATTCGTTTCTTAAATGTAATTAATGTAAAATTCCAGCTGATTTATTATATGCATCACTATGGATGGCGTTATTAAGAATAATCACCGTAGGTCACTAGTTTTTAAAAATGCTTAGCTCATTTGTTTTTAACTAAAATATATTATATACCTAAACGTATTCTTAGCTAGGAATTTTCAGCATGTTTGAAATTTGCATTAAGTGGATGGAATATCATTGCTTAGTGGAAGGTTTTGATAATTTACGTAATGAAGCATGCTATTTAATAGTTTTATAAAATATTGAGTATTATGACCAGGTGATAAATGTGATACCAATTCTCTCATCCCATTTTTCAGCGTCGTTGCTTCTCGGTATTATAAACGTTCTTTATATAAAAAGAAATTTAGATTAATGTTTATCCTGAGCTTTACCACTAACTTTAAATACATCATATAGAATAATCCTCGTTATATATACATGATACATTTGTAAAGTACCATGCTTTATTTAATATTAATTGCCCCAAAGCAAATCCAGAGCAATTCTTGTGCTTCTGTTCTTCAACACACATAATAAATATTTAAGAATTCGGTTTTGAATGCTCTTTATCCACATCTTGGGAGCTTTGCAGCTACATTATTATTTTCATATTTTTTTAAAAGAAAGCAAATGTTGAACAACAGAAAGTTTGATGACCTGTAAAGTATTTTCTACCTTCTTACCGCGTGTCATTGGAAAGAACGTTGATCTAAAAACCAGAAAGTCCGGAGTTCTCATACCAGCGAGAGAATTGGACATTTCTTATGTTCCCTGCTTCAACAAACCTAATGATCTTATAGAGTTCTCAGAAATTCTGCATGTGCTGTCATATGCCATCAGCTGCCAGGTATAATTCAAAAAGACACGACAGGCGGATAGTCGTAGAAACTAACTTAACAATATTGTTCGCTTCAATAATACTTTTCTCAAATGCTTCACATTCATTTTGATTTTACTTCAGTTTACAGTTAAAGGTTGTTTTTAGTTCTATATCTGACATGCTGCCATTTCTAATTTTTTTTTTTCATATCAGAAAACGTGTTATGGATTTGATATCATAATTGCAAAGTATGTTATTAAAAGTTTTCTTCCTTCAGGTTTCCTGCCTAAATTAAAAGTTTTCTGCCCAAATTTTTCACTAATTAGTTCCTTAAAAAATGTTTAATGTAATTCGATGTAATTAGATATGCTAATTTAAATATATTGTTTGTAGGAAGTACAATGTACAATGTCCAATGTACAATGAATGTTTGTATGATGTATGTTCGAAGTAATTATGTTATATTAATCTGCGATAATCCAACTTTTGTTAATCGGTTAATTTCTTTGTACTAATTGTATACTGTGTCTTTGTAATTGTATATTCAGTACGTAAGTCTAGAATTGATGTAAGGTTTCCATGTAAATGTCTTGTTAGGCTGGCATCCGATGCGGGTCAACCGAATGCCGAGCGGGTACAGTAGTGCGGCGGAGCAATACCTGTAAAAGTCACTGAGGAAGTTCTGGTGCTCCGTCCACTTTTCCCTGTCCCTGCCTTCAGGCCCGCGCCGTCAATAGGTGCAGGACTGTGCGGCGCACGGCGGCGTCGAGTCAAAAAGGCGCAGGGCAGTCATTAAAACAAGCAGTCCGTTTCTGTGCATTCAAACAGGAAAACTTGAACTTGTTTCTTTTTTTTTGTTAAATGTTTTTAGAGCTAGCGGGAGTTTGTGGTTATAGAAGAACGGTTACAAAATGGCACCCAAAGTGGAGTCGGCCGGGATAGGACTTACAAATCCGGTCCTACAATCTGACTATCACATGCATCCCTGGACGACTGAACTTCATAGTTGAGATTATTGTCAAGTCTGTGCTGTCTTCATTGTAATTCCTACTACTAGTCCTGCAGAATAATGCCAATCATAGTTGGAATAAGATGATCTTCGAAAGATCATTGAAGCTTTTGAGAGTCCAGAGAAAGCAGTAGATTATGCAACTTGGACTTGAAAAGAATACATTAGTAGGAGAGGAGTGTTATACCGATATTCTTCTGATTTGAAATAATTAGCACAACTAGTTATACATCGAAAAAGAAAAGCAGAAACCGTAGCGAACATCATGAGAGATCACTACTGATGGCATGTCACTACGGATTCACCCATAGCTGGTCACTACGGATTTGAAGGGGCATTTTATTGAATAACAAAAAGATACTACGGTTTTGGAAGTGGACTATGTCAAAAGCAGTCTCAAATGCTGTCACTATAAAGCCTCTAATCAAAAGCCATCTGGGCTGCTTCAAACTCCTGCCTATGCTCAACACTTTGAGACCCTGTCAATAGACCTTTTCGGTTCCCTTGCTGAAACGCCATCTTGGTTAAAAATGGATTTTTATTGTTCAAGATTGTACTGCAAAGTGGACAGAACTATTTGCTTATCTATTAGTAACAACATTACTGTTTTTATGCAGCAGAGCTTCCCAACCAGGTCGGTATTGATCCCCTGTAGGTGAATGAAATATTAAACGGTGCAAATGGTGATTAATGGGTTGATTTGGGATCGATAACAGAATATGCATAGGCGATTGATCAGCATAATGAAGAACCCATTGATTGCAGAATAATAATAATAGTGTAAATTTGATAATTAATTGCTTAGTGATGTAAAGCTGTATCATATAGTAAGGAACAAATCACATAAATTAAATATAAAAGGAAAAATGCACAATAACAATTTAGTAGGTATCAAAAGCAGTTTTTTAAATACATAAATTTTTATGCAAAATGCACAATATAAATATGTAAAACGCAGGAGCACAAGAAACACACACAAAAAAAAAAAAAAAAAAAAAAAAAAAAAAAAAAAAAAAAATACGAAGAACGCAAAACTTTCTCAGAAGATATATCGTTATATATAAACTGCTTGCAGAATTTAAAAGAAGATTTTGAGGTTCCCTTCCAAGACATTAAAAATTTGAATGTGCAAATATGGCTCATAAAACCACTGAAATATGGCAGATTTGATACTGATATTATAATACAAAAAGAGTTGATCGCATAAGTCTTATTCAAAACATAAGCTAAGTTTTGGATTTAAAAGTCATCCGAGAGAAATATTTCAAAATTAAAGTTGCTACTGAACGAACGTTATTGGCTTTTCTCTCCTTTAACCTAATGGAAGCAGACTTTAGTCGATGAAAGAAAAAGGTTGGGTATCACATTTCTAGAGTTAAAATAAATAACTCATCCTTGCTTTAAAAATTAATAAAATGGGAACATACGCTTTTAACTATACGTAATATTACATATTCTAAAAACTTCTAATTTTTATTTATTTTGCTTTTCTATTTAACAATACGTTATATCTGAAAGGGAAAAATATTAATAATCAAAATATTACTTAATTTTAAGATGTTCTGGCTTTGATTTCCGTTGAGAGAAAGGTTTGTTAAGTAACCATTTCTTCAATTTCAGAATGTTACAAATAAAATCTTCATCTTTAAACGTTAACTGCAAAAGAAATTAAACAATATATATTTAAAAATACGATTAAATTTAACTAGAAAAATCAGTTGAAAAGTCTACTGATGTATATCGAGGTACTTACATTAGTGTAAAAGTGCGATAAAAAAGAATCATTCAGAATTTCTTTCTCATAACCATAATGTAACTTCCTGGCATTAGCCTAAAAGATATAAATAAAATAATACTCGTATTTTCAAATATATGCTGTGATTATAGTACATACCTAATGTTTAAATATAGTTTATGACTATATATAGAGATACTGAAAAGCAAAATTCAGAATATTCAAGAAGAAAGATTTAAATTGTCAAGCAAAGTTAGAGAGCTAGCAACAGACTATGAGAAGAGATTTTATGATATACAAAAGGAAAAAAAAATCGGAATGTTTAGTGCTGACTCATTGTGAATATAATCATTTAATGATTTTGATCGGATCCTGTGATCATTTAATTTTTAATCAACGACAGGATAGCGTATTTTCAAATAACGAAAAACATTACGCTTACACAAATAATAGAAACGTATGTAAGATTTTATTTTAATTCAAAAAATGTGTGATCACTTTCGGGTAACACTCGCCGATTAAATTCTGAAAGGAAAAATGTTTCTTATTGTATTATGTGTTTACAGGAAATTCTTTCTTTTCATATCATTTTTCAGTAAATCTAAGAATCGCCTTGAAAGGACTTCTGTGCATGTTGCATACATTTTAGTTTCCTCCTATTTATTAGATTAAAAACTTGTGAAAGAAATGACCTCGGGTGTTCAAATTTAGTTTAATCGCTTATATTAAGGGATTATATTTCCTGCTGCATAATTGTGTGTGTGTCGATGTAAATATTATCAACAGTTTTTTTTAATTTTTTGATTTGGGTTCTGTTTATAGGTTTTTAGATTTGGGTTCTGTTTTGACGAAATGACAGCTCTCTGCTCACTGTTAATATTGTTTTGAATTATAATAATTATTTATTTCACTATTGACCGCAATCCATCTCTATTAAGATTTATAATTTTCCTTTGTTTTTGTAACTTTTTTTGCAATAGTTCAATATCTATCTTACACCATATTTATGAATATTCTGATATACTTTTGTAAATATTATTTTCATGATCGCCATTATTTGCTGTTGTTGTTGATTATTATAATTTATCTTATATTTTTGGCGACAATATAACAATTCTGCCTGCGTAACCCAGCCATTTGCAAAAGCCATGCAGCGACAAACTCTTCCAAAGAAAATGAGAAACTGTATATTCTTTTGTCTAAATATATTACTAGTTATGAAGTATTAACATTATGCCACGTTTTAGCTATTTCAGAATTTATATAAATCAGGTATTTATTTATTTATTGATGTATTTTTTTCTCTTGCTGTGCTTGTAATTGCAATTTATATTATCAGCTCATAATTTCCAATATTCCAATATTTGCAATATGCCTCAATTATACGGAGTAAACAAAGATGGTATAATAAAGTTTCCAAGAAATTTTTTTAATTTATAAACACAAATTAAATCTTCCCAAACTAGCACAAATATTTATTATACCTTCCATACTAAAAATGACAGTACTGATTCTTCTCCTTTTATTCCTCCGTAATTCAGTAAACTATAGGTTCCCTGATCAGTATTTGTAAAAATATTTCTTTTAATTCTACTACACTACATTGTAATTTCGCCGAAAATTTTTTAAGAACGAATACGTGTTTGATTTTGGCTAAATTTGACAGTTCAAAAGACCGTCAGTCAGTTATCCAACATAATCTATAATTGGATAAAGGCGCAAATTTTATTGCATTCTTGCGTTAATTACGAGTTATAGGAAGTATCTTTCAATCACAACAGCATTTTATAATTATTTTTAAAACTTTTGAATATCATTAATTATAGTGATTATCAATTATCATTTAGTGTAATGTTTGTTTGGAATATCTGTATTATTGTATTATGTTTGATTTTCTCCTCTCGTTGCAGTAACTTATGAACTGAAGTTAAGGTGAGTATCTGTTCAAGCGAACTGATCGATCAAGAAAAGTCCTGCAATGGACGGTGTCAACAATTCAATTATATGACTTAAAAAATGTTAACTGTTATGATCTGCCATCTAAGTAAAATTATCAAACTTCTTTGCAAGCTTCAATATTTTCCGAAAGACTGAAAAATGGCTATCCAATTCCTCATTTCCTGAAAATCGGCCAGTCAGGTTGCATCATGGAGACCAAAACAGCCTCCGCAGCTCACTCAGCAAGCTTCAAAATTTAACATTCTTAAACGTCTTCAGAATTACTTTAGCCAGAACAATTCGCTCATTTCTCCCCAGTTTGTATTTAGAAAAAGCTTCCCACCAACTTGTATGAAAGGTTATATGAAAAAGCAATAAAAACAGATAGTATGATAAAAGAATAAAAGAGGCAGGATACAAACTCATTGTGATATGGAAATGTGATTTTGAAAACAATAAAATAATTTTAAAATAAACAAAAAAAGAATGGAAAAGGGATTTTATAGAAACTTTAAATCATAAAGATGCTTTTCCATGTGGCACATATAAACCTACCAAATTACAGTATGAAATGCAAAATAATGAAAAAGATAGAAATATTCATCTTGTTTCACCCTATCCAACTGTTAATATCTTTGATGATTATCCACTAGAACATACTTATAAAATTTATAATCCTGCGAATTATGATATACTTGCAAATTGGTATAGTTTTATCAAATGTAAAAGTATTAGCACTTAGAAAATTATGTCATCCTACGCTGGTTATCATAAATTTAAAAAAAATCACAAAAATCACGATTACTGAAAAAGTTACATATAGAATTAATGAAATACTCACATATACAAAATAGTAGTATAAATAAATAAAGAAATACCGACAAAATGGTAGTGTAGAATTAGGCAGTAGAAATGAACAAATCGATGTGTACTTTTCGATAGAAAAGTACCTTAATAGGAATATGATCACTCTAGAGCATACAGAATAAGAGATGTGTGATGCTTCAAATATGGTCAGTTCCATAGGAAGCGAGAGCATTGCTTTGCAAAGCAGTTGCAAGCCGCAAGGGTCTGAGGAGGGGATTGAGCAGCTAGACTCTCCCTAAGCATCCCAAACGTGCTCGATGGATAAGCGGGGATCGAGCTGGCACTCCATGGAGAAATGTTTCTGTTGAAGAATATATACGATGCGAACCTGTGTGGTCAAGTTGTCGTCTGAAAGGAAAGATCAATATGCCCGGCATATGGGCGCAAGAAACTCAGATGTCATTTTCACAATAAGATTCACGGTTACCCTTGGAAAGATACGGAGGTTGTGCGTCCACCAAAGAGATGCCACCCCAAACAAGGCCTGCCCTTCCGTATGATCTGATCAGAATGTTTGCCGGAGATAACGGGTTCAGGTTTCTCCAATCAAATACGCCTAGTATCGCTTTCTAACACACGGACCACTTCGTAAAGAGAACGCTTCGTAAAGAGAAACCTTGTACAGACGCCCTCCATGATCAGGCGTCCAGTGGACTGTTGTCGTGCCCATGAAAACGGACCTCCTATGGTTGACGTGAGCGGCACAAATGGCTGGCGCTCGCATGTAGACACTTCGTGAAACCTTCTACGCACAGTTGAGGGACACGAACATTCGGTGGTGCAGCAAGGGAGGATCTAAGAAGAGTGGGTAGCGGTTTATTCTGCGTGCACCTAATATGAAATATCGGTCATCGGCGCTCGTCGTAGCAGTGGCCGTCCTGGCTGAACCTCTCAGAGTCGAATCTGTGGTTGAAATTGCTCCAGTCCATGAACACAGAAGGGTCAATTTAGCATTGGCACTTCTGTTTGACGTTGTCTGCTCTAGTCTCCCAATGGCTCTCATCGCAGTTTGAGGCAATAATGCTGGAGGTAATTGTTACGAATTGGTATCTCAGATTTCTGAGTCACTGTGAATATGTGGGTGCCTCTCAAACATGGACTTTATGCTCCGAGATGCGATTCCGAAAGCAGCGCCACTAATTGCATAGGAAGTTTTACTCAGCTGATCTACTTGGCAACATGTTCAAATTTTACAAGGTTTAACTTATTTTTGAGGGAGTTATCGCTATTTTTGTAATTTTCCCTTAATTTATGATAACTAGTGTATATTACCTTTTAAAAGAGACAAATTTTTATTTTCATTATGTAAATCACGTTTAAAAATTATTCAATGTAAACATCTTAAAACTACTACCGAAAAGAGAAAGTGTGAATAATGTTATAAATCCTGTGAATTTTATAATTTTATACAGATAACGGAAAGAAAAATTATCAAAACCTTTTTCATGGAGTATGCTTTAGATTCTTCATCCATCCAATCAATTTTTTCTAGAAAATTTAAATATTCATTTTCAACGTAAGTTGTTAACTCTATAGCCTGAAAGAAAAGGTACGAATTTTTACTCAAGCATATTACTAATTACAAAAGAGATTATAGTAAATTATTAAGCTAAACCTTTTACTCATTGTGCAGAAATCTTAGTTGAAAATGTAAGGCTTCTCTTCTTTAGCGGTATATATGTGTATAATTGAAAAGCATGTCCGAGGTAGTATCGGGAAGTCAGGAATTCGAAGCCCAGCGAGGATATCGTTGATTCTTAATGTATACCGACTTAAAAAAAATCAAAAGGTCTTCACAACTGGTGCTAGAACTAAAATATAGTGGACGATAATGCGTTACCTTCAGGATTTGACGACTGGGCCCTAGACTCCGCAGTCGCCCTTCAAGTGAGGCAAGATATAAGGTATATTACCCCCCCCCCACGGCGTGCCTTCTCGGTGTAATTGGAAGCACGCATGACGGTACGGGAGTTATAAATATAATTCAGAATTCGTGATGATGGGACTGTAAAATAGAAAAAAATCTGATGGGGACACCACATGACAAAGAAGCACGGCCTATTAAATTATACGCATTTTTGCTGCACTTTATTCAAACTTATTTTCTGGAATTATTCTAATTAATTAAACGATTCCTCAAGGAATGTTGGGAGGCAAGTTGGAAATGACATAAAAAATTGCAAATTTTGAAATTAAATATGCCAGTCAACTTTTGTCGTACCGGAGTCAATTTATATTTTTACTTTTTCATAACGAGAATAAAACATTTCCAAATATAATTACGGGAACCCAGAGATGGCATTTAAAGTTATCCGAAGCACAAATTCAGGACTCTGAAATTCAAAATTCCTTATCTCAATCTTCACTATTTTAACTGAGAAAACATTACGTTCTTTGAAGATGTCATCTTACTGTGATATGGACACAGATATACCTCGACCGTTCTAGCTGAATCTTTCGCTTAAAATATTTCAGAGATTACTATCTTTCTCATGTGGTATTTCAACTTCACAAATTAATACTACGCATATTTTTGACCTAATATGAAGAAATTTATTAAAATGCAGTCAATCATGTCTACAGTGCAAAATTCTGAATCATAGGCTACGAACACCGTTGGGTACCTTTCCTTGCTGATGCAAGATTTGCACATAACCACTTGATCATAGGTCATCTTCACGTCGAGGTAACCGTATTGAATGACAGTATGACAGGTACCAGATGTCCAGAGTAAACTACTGTGACGTGTCGCTCAGACGACTTCAAAGTGTAGTGCATAACTGGATAGAAGATTTGGCTGCCCGGTACAACAAAAATCATCAAGGCGAAATTTGAATCTCATTATTTAGGATTAATGAAAATTCTGTTATATCCTCAGTCCAAGGGACTGATTGAGAGATTTATAGGCAACTTAAAGTTCAACGAACGGCACAAGAACAAAATGGATGAAAATTCTGCCTATTATCTGTCGGTATAGATTGCCAGTAAGAAAGATATAAATGCTATTGCTACGGACACACTTAGTTACCGTCAGATATGTGAATGTACAAATTGTAGCGCTATGAATATGATTGTCCACTTCGATAAGTCATGCTTTAGTAGACCTATTCCTAATCTAAGATATCAATCACCATTTATGACATCCAGCTCTTCAAACCTGTCTCATGTAGTTGCGTATCGATTCTTAAACACCTCTAACCCACCTAATGGTCCTCATACGTGGGTAAACGAATGGATAAAAATTTACTATGAGGTAAATAACAAACAAGATTACAGCAAACTCGATAGTTTAACCGCTAGATCTTGTCGAAGTATAAAATTCCTGTAATTCTCAGTTTCACAAGAAGTCTGCGAAATCAACAATTGTCCAAAAAAAGTAGTAACGAAGTGACGTCGTGTTCATTTCCTAAAACTAATACGTAATATGAGTAAGTTTCTTTTGTGGTTTGCTGCAATGTTACAAAACGTATGAGATTCGATAATTTTTTTGCAACGTTTGCTTATATAGAAAATGCATTAACTTATCATATTTCGTTAACTAAGTTATGCATGTATGGGATATATCCGTAGATGGAAATGATTATTACATTCTTATTTGTTTTTTTGTACGTACAATTTAAGATAACTGTTATTGAATGTGCATCTTAAATTGTAAATTTACTGGCAACTCCTTTGTATGGACTGTGTCACTGGGGGATACTTGTGGCAATCTGACGTTCGATTGCTACGCAGCCAATCACGTCATGGGTATGAACAACGCTAGGCGTCAGTGAATCACTCACTTCTCTTTAGCTGCAGCATAGGATGTTTGAATTTTAGTGTAGTGGTTTTGTCTTGTTCTGTTATTCAGCTGTGTTTTAAAAGTTATGTACGTGTGAAAAAAGTATGTCAAAGAAAGGAGTTCATGACAATTCAAAGATACACACCAGACAACACCACGCCACCATAGACAGTAAATTTCACAAATACTGTCTGATAATAAAAATTAAAATCTTTACTATTACAACATAGTTAACAACTAATCACTTTAGCATTATATGAAAACAATTCTACACAACAATTATTAATAAAGAACTCTTCAATGCAACTACTAATCAACTGGCAAACAATTCAAAAACATCTATAATGAACAGAATTAAAACGTTTCATAAAAATTCAATATCTTTTTAAATGCAAAGTACAACAGATTTACTAACCTATATGCTAATCCCATAAAATACCATTAAAATTCAGATTCATAGCAAATGGCACTAATAACTACAAGAAAAATGTAGACGATTATTTTTCATTTCAGCTTAACAAAATTTGTAAAATTATATTCAACGCCTGTAACAGTACTCATAAATATTGATGGATCATCCAAAATGACACTCCTGTTATTAATACCATTCATTCTATCGACATGCAAAACATTAACTGCTATGTCTTTGATAACTTATGTACATCATTTCCTTTGGAAGAAATCTATACTAGTCAAACTAAATCTTCCTAAACTCTTTCCTGCTATGCTCACAATTATGAACATTAATAAATAGAAAACCTACCTCAAATGCACTATTTCCCATAACCACATTAAATTTCAAAATCAACTTTTTAAGCAAGTAAGAAGTATCCCAATGGGCGCATATTCGAGTACTTCCGTCCGTAATATCTTTTTATTCATCAAAGAATTTACCTTCTAAAAAATTTATAACAAAACGATTTAAATTACTACGCGCACACTTACAGAGATGACCCTATTACATTTAATAATTTTAATAAGATTGAAAACTCAGAGATTTATCCGAAATGCCTTACTCTTAATAAAGCTAATCACTCACAAAATATCATCGACTATCTTGATCTTCAAATAAACAACAAAAACATTCTACTGTTTGACAAAACGCAAGACTTCAATTTCAGTACTAACAAATTAATAAATTGGATTTCCAACATATCCAAGAAAGTTATTCGTAATACTATTTTAAATCAAACGCAATGTATTAAAATATTTGTACAGATACAATAGATTTACAATGCGAAATTCTGCTTCTTATTAAAATTCTCAAAAATAATCTAGTACCTAATCGTTTTATTAATCATTGTCTTAAAAGAGCAGGCGTTAAATACTCTCTTTGAATCATTTAACTGATAGGGATATGAAAATTTGTTCCTAAACCCAAAAAGGCGGTATAAATTGGATGACTATCAGTTAGAGGATTTGTAAATACTGTAATTAAGGAAATAGTTGTGTATAATGTTATAGGCTATTTCTCCCGCCTTCCTAGCGTGCTTCGTAGTGTAGCGGTTCTGCACGCTGGGCCGGTATTCCAGAGGTCCGCGGTTCTATTCCCGATGAAGGCGTTGCTAATTTTTCATCTTTCCTGCCTCCAAAATACCTAATGTCTCTACAATGTTAAAAAAAATCGTTGTTTTCTGGCGTTTTCTTATTCCCTTTTCTTTTACTAAAAATATGAGCCTATTTTAATATTCTAAGACTGCTAAATAGCTCGTTAGCGGTGAAAATTGCTTCTTTTTTTCTTCCTCGTTCCGTAAAGAAAATTAGCCAGAAATTGATTAATTTCCTTTCACTAGTCCGTATAAAATCAAAATTTTAACAGACGCATTTAGACTCGCAAAAGAGTTCTAGAACCAATTCCCACCCACATTCCAAAAATAGCTTCTCAAAGGTTACCGACTTTAATAATTCAAACTATCCCCACTGTTGCTCTCTCTCGGATCGCATACCAATCTCCTTCTGAGTAAGAAAACCGACACGAACACTTCACCGTCGTTCCACTAGAACGAACGTAATTAATTCAGTTTCTGGCCTTTTATGTATAATATGTACATTTAAATTTGAACATTTTATTGCACCATATTTTATAAGTACCTTTTATTTTTTCATTTTCTATGTCATTAATTTTGCAAAGATTGGAATGTTTATTATAATTATAACGATTACTTTGAATCATACTTCATAAATATGACGAATATTAAATTCTGTTTATTATGTTTATAAAGATAGCTTTGAATTAATGTGCATGAAAGCGAGGGTGTCGGGGAACACTTTACTCAAGTAAAAGAGAAATTATGTTTTACTAAATCTAGCAAAGAAATTTTTTTACTACTACTCAATTTGGCAATAATATCTCAAGATTTATAAAAAAATTCATTAACTTAACGGAACTGCTACATTCATAATGAATTTTAGATAATATTTATAGTACTTCACTTTAATCTCACTAATTTGATTAAAGCTCAACTTACAAGTTTGGCTTAAACTCAAATTGCCAGTTTGGCAGCATACTTCTTACTTGAGTAAAAGATGAAACACCTTCGCATTTATTAATTATTGTTAATTGAACGGGAGTTGATTTGTCATCCTCGAACCTTTTCTCCTTCAGAAAGAGAAAAGAAGTAACGTACGAACCAGATGGCGTAAAGCGAACTTCTTACAAAGCACGAGCTGGTAATATTGAAATTTTGCCGCCCAGGCGGTATAGTGGTTAGGGATGCCTGACTGCGATATCAAAGAGTCCTAGTTCGAATCCCGGAGAAGGCATGGATGTAAAATTGTGTGTTGCATCGTAGGCGATAATGAAGGCCGCCTATTAGGTGCGTCCACAAGCTGGGGGGAATATAGAAATTTTTAACTTTCCAATTTCTTCTTTCTGCGCCTTGCGGAATATTTTCTGAAGATTCTGGCTCCAAAGATCTTCACAGTATTTTCAGATGCTCAGTTCACAGTGGAAGTACATTTAAAACTAACGCTTTTCCGTAAGTATCAGTACTACATTTGCTCGACGGAGCCTTCCTATATATTGAATGTGAATAAGATTAGGCATTTTTAAGCCAGTTTGTAGAAATTTAGCTATTCTACGAATTTAATGGGCATCAAAAATTTTACTAAGCTGGTTCTTGTCTATTAATATGTAAAATTATTAATATAAATTACTTCTAGTTATTTTAAATTATTCAATTAATATATTTTTTTTAGTTAAATAAAATCTTTAAAATAGTCCGAAATAATGCGCTTGTTAGTTTGTAGCTCTTCAGATTTAAGACTGTCTCTAATCCCTTTCTCAAATATTATGCCAACTTTTATTTCTTTCAGTCATCCCATGAGGCTGTCTTTAGATGACCATTCTGCGTTACTGAAAGTATTGCCGCAATAATTGTAAAGAGTTAATATCACCTGCCCTACTAACGTCCCCTTCTACTACGCTTTGGATCACGAGAGCCTCAACCGTTTTTAAGTTGCATTTACTATTTCAGCAGCGTATTGCCAGATTGCAAGGTGATATAAAGTAAGCACCATTTTGAGTTTCAATAATGCAACAACGATAAAAGTCATTTACCTTGCACATATTTTTTAAAAATGAATAAGATCTATGAGTAAAAATCCTATAAGATATACATTTAGGAATCCTTTTACTTTCATTATTTTTGTCAAAAATTATAATAAAGATCACTGTACCTACTCATCCGTTGAAGTTGAATAAACACAAAACTGATAACTAAACAGCTTTTTTGGAATATTCTATTTTATACTCCTTGATATCTTCTACTAGGGAACTTCTGGTAATTTGTTGCATATTTTTGTTTTGTACAATGTATATTAGCAAATTTTAAAACTTGTAGATTTTCCTCATTATCTTTGTCATTTGAAAAATATTAAGTGCGCTTTGATTTCAGTGGCTAATAAATAAGCTATAGTAACAGACATTAATCTTTTGAATTGTCTGAGAGAAGACGATGTCTAAATTATGTATATTAGATTATAGGAGGTTCAAGACACATACGGCTTTCCTGCTGTCTTCTGGGAAATGCTTTCGTATATAGATGGAATCCAGTATTATTTGGAAATTGCTGTAAGTGAAATCGAAGCATTCCTGACGACGAGGCTCCCAGCTCCAATCAATGAAGTCATTCTTAAATCTTTCTATAATTTTCCATATCAAGTAGTTGGCCAGCTCCCTGGAAAGAGAAGTATCGCTACTAGGTTGATGTCATCATAGTTTACTTCTCTCACACTGACATTTCAAATACTTACCTGGGAACATTTCGAAATTTTCCCCAACAGGGATTATAGAACAAAGCACAAATATTTCAGAAGCTAATAATTAACTAAGGGAATTGACATAACGTTAATACGAATGTTCCAGAACAAAAGCTACTTCATAAAGTTCAATTTATTATTAATTAATGTGCGGTCCATTTCAAATTAGAGCACTTTTCATTTTAAGTGTGAAATACGTTAAATATTGGTGCTCATTTCCATGTACTTAACTTTCTTTAAATATTTCCGAAAGGGAATACAAAAGGAATTTTTACAAATGCTATTTAAAATTTGTAACTGAGTTATTATAAAATGTAAGGGAATAATTATTTCTATTATAATTATCGATGTATTTGCCAACAGGATCCCAACTAATGTTTACAATTCAATGTTAAGGTTATTATATATTTAGATATATTTCTAAATATAAATTTAGAAACATTTAATAATTTAGATTTCTTCACAGCAAACTTTCACGGAGTTTATGAAGAAGGAATCCTAATTTCAACTACATTACAAATAATTTAATAAATATTTAGTATTTTGTAAAGGCAGATACATGCTTTTTGCAAGCATATGCATACCCATACATATTTCATATTTTCATTTTCGGCATGTGCAAATCTTTAATTTCTGTGCATGCATTTGGAACATAAAATAAAAATGGTAAATTCTCTATCAAGGATATCAAAAGACGTATACAATTTTAAAGGTACTGTAAGACATTTTTCATCCTTTAAGCATAACATTTTTGCTAAAATTTATTGTAGTTCAACAGCTTAGTATTCAGTAGCGGTTTTGATTAAAACAAATTCATAATCAAAATCGCTGTTGTTAGTTATCGAAAAATAATCAAGATGTGATTTTTCAGTAAGTGTCACTAAACTATACAAATTGCTATTATTCATCACATAATGAATGTTTCTTTTATGCAGAAGTGTCCCGTTTTTCGAATTGTATGGAACTGCCGTGTGTCGAAATACTATCAGAGCTTTGTCAAGAGAGCTTCAAGCTAAATCTAAACAAAAACACTCCATCTAGAGACCGAAGTCTCGAAGCAGTGCTTCACTCATAGTGCGGGGTTGACCCCCTCCTTCCTTTCTTACTTCCATGGGATTCACAGAGATAACAGCATATTGAAAAATTTCCGTGGCATGTTTGTTAGCTGAATTTAGAGTAAATAAGTGTTTTCATACTATCCTATTGTATCTATACTCAAGATGATATCTATGCTCAAGATGAACAGTAATATTCAAATTTAAAAAGATTATTTATTAAAAAAAGCTGCTAGCAAAGCACATAGAGGTTATCTCTTAAAATATATTTGTAAAGACAATAAGCTGTTTTAGCTGCATGATCACCACAAAACAGACCATTTTAGCTTTAAAAAAATAAAATAAAATATACAAATACACATACTTACAAGACGCCCCGTTTTGCCACCGACGGTTCCGGTTTGATGATATAGTCACTGATTCCCTTATACTATTCACATTATATACCAGGGGCTTATTAATAGTATATACAATGGGGCTACGTCTAAAACCATAGCAAGGGGCTGGCCTATCGTAATGAACGACTTTAAGCTTAGAATTTGATGACTTACGGATCCGAACTACGAGGTCGTTCAGCCTGTTTAAGACTGTGTAAGGATCATCCCGAGGTGACTTAGTTTAGGAGAGAGCCCTTTCCGTCGAATCGGAAACCCCACTACATATTGTCATCTTCGTTGAATCAATATTCTGTGGCTCTCGTGTCGAATCGGATCTTTATCTTCTCCCTTTCCAAGCTGACTCCCTCTGCTGCAAAATTATGCATAACTTCAAACCGTGCTTGGAGATCTTGGATGTACTCCTCAGGTGATAAAGGCCCAGCCAGACAAGATAGACAAACAAGAATTCAAAAACAGTCGAAGGTCACGACCGAACAACATCTGGGATGGGGAATAGCCGGTAATCTCGTGGACAGCACTGCGATGGGACAGTAAGAGCAGAGATAAATTCTGGTCCTGTTTGTTTATGGAAACCATCAACGGGATATTATTAAGGATGGCACGATTAAAACTCTCTATCCTGCCGTCTGACTGGGGATTAAAGATGTTATTCGGATTTTGTCGATGCCGAGTATTTTTCAGAGTTCTTTAATTACAGCGGAGGTAAAATTTACTCCTTCATTGGAATTTAACTGAAGAGGCACTCCAAACATAGAAATCCAATACTGTAGCATAACATCTGCAACCTGGCGTCCTCTTGATCAGGAATAGGAACGTTCCAGCTTCCCTCGGCTCTTCTGTCCTTTTCGACCTTCACAAGCATCTCAAGATTGGAACCAGTTTTACGCGTCAGCCCTTGCCCTACTCCAGTTGAAACGCTATATAAACTTTATGAAAAGTCTTTATGGCGTCCAAAGTCTTTATAGCGTCCAAAGTCCATAAAGAATTTTATTTTAGTCCAAAGTGGCCTTCCGTTGTTCTGTACTGCTATAATATAAATTCTTTAAGGATGTCCGGGATCTTCTAAGTATTAGCTGCCATCGGAAAGCCTTTCCATCATCCGATTTGAAATTTCGGTACAAGATGCCGCTTTGAATATGGAGTGTGTACCAGAGACCTCATCCTTGGGTCTGGGTCAGACAATGTTGAATTCGTGACTTGACGCACGACCGAGTTAACCAGCTCACATTTCCCATCGAACCTGAAAGAACACTGGCAGCTTTCTGGACAGGGTCTCCTAGATAGGGCGTCGACGTTTCCATGGGCTGATCCAGTTTCACAATTTCACAATCTCTACTTTTCTTGATATTAATGTTGTCAGTTCTTCTTTAACAACCTGATTTTTTCAGAACAGCTCCAACACCTTTCAAGCTCTGTCCTTTACAGCGAGGAATCCTTTCATAATTACGGCCTTTAAAACAACAAATTTATACATTTATCTGCCGAGGTCATCTAACAAGAGTCTTCCAATTCCTTTGTACCAACTCAACGACTGGCTCTCTAAAACGGACGTTGTTGCGGGGATCTTCTTTTTCTCAGC